TTCCGTTACGTGAGAAACACCAGCGCTTGTACTTGGCACATTACTCTCCTCCATAATGACGATTGAAATGTACTTCGTCGACAAGTACTGATAATTTATAACAATTTTCAAGACATAACTAACCAATTAAATCTAACTTTTGAAACTAGCCATTTCATCGGACGAAACACGGGATGAAAAATATTGTAATTTGGGGGTAATAATTTTTTTATTGGGGTGGGCGGTTATTTTTTAAAAAAATACAAAAATTGCCGGTCGGATAATATTATTCACTGTTGTGCCATTGCTATTGCATCCTACGTCAAGGAAACTACTGAGGAATATTATCCGACCAGCAATTTTTGTATTTTTTTAAAAAAATAACCGCCCACCCCAATAAAAAAATTATTACCCCCAAATTACAATATTTTTCATCCCGTGTTTCGTCCGATGAAATGGCTAGTTTCAAAAGTTAGATTTAATTGGTTAGTTATGTCTTGAAAATTGTTTTATAATTTATCAGTACTTGTCGACGAAGTACATTTCAATCGTCTTTATGGAGGAGAGTTAATGTGCCATGTACAAGCGCTGGTGTTTCTCACGTAACGGAAATAGAGGAAGTCTTTTTGACCATACCTTGTTTTTGGTTGCGTTCCATCGGTTGAAGCGTATAAGACCACTCACAAATTTTGAAAGATCGACTTACAGTCATTATGTAGTGAGAGATTTGCATATTGGCAGAGACAAAATCGTATATTAAATTTGTGTGTTGGCGTAATGGACGTATAAGATCTAGCGGTTCGTCACAGCGTATTAGACGGAAGAGGTAATTTGGTAATTGGTTTTATAATTTTTTTAACGAAGGGTTTCTTGAACACTCAATGTCCGGCCTTCATGTTTTGTAAGATTATAGACGGCTACTGGACTGTTGTACGTGGGAATGTGCATCACAATCACGAGTGCAATTCCCTGAGGTTACAGTATTCACTGGTCGTTGCGCAGGTTATAAATGAGGAGTTTGAAACTGTGAGAACGCTGCTGATATCTGGTACCGCTGCATTCCACATAAAGAATTTT